TTAAACCTTGATGTTCAGATAGCAATATAACTCACAAAAATTAGGTGACCTAAAGTGTGAGGATGGTAATTATCTGTCTTTAATATAAAAGAGTAAACTGATACTTTCTAAAAGTGAAATGTTTAGTTAATTAATTATGTAACACTTTGTTTTTACTCATAATTTTTTTAAGCCTCATAAAGATTTTTAATTAAAAAAAGCCTTTCATGTGGTAAAGAAAGTCATCTGAAGTTTAAAAATTTTTTTTATTGTTTCATGTCCTTTTCTTTCTTTTCTGTTAAATGTAAAATTATATTTGATGCTTTTTATTTAAAATAAAATTTAGTATGAGTTTCTTCTATCCTTCTTTATTCCCTCTTCCTTCCCTTCTCCTTTCTTGCCTTCTCTTATTCTCCATAAAAAGATATTTAATGTTTATTGTTATTTATTGTGTTACTTTTAGGTAGTAGTATTTTAAGTGTTGTACTTTCTATTTCCCTATACTTTATGAATTTCTATGTTGTATATGATTTACAAAAGCAATTACATAATTACGAAAAATGAGTTAAAATAAAAATCATTTTAAAATGCTATAGTAGAAAGAGTGAATATTAAGTATAAATGAAGAAATGACAGGATCAAAACTTAAAATGATAGATTTTATTCAAGAAAATTATAAAAATCTTTTATTGCCACAAAATCCCTTGAAATTCAGAAAGTGGAGAATATTTGTCAATGAGTTGACAAAGTAATAATTTTCCTGATATTATTAGAGATCTTATAATTAGTAGAAAAAAGATGAACACACATAAAAAATGGGTCACAGGACAGTATCAGGAAGTTCTTGGAAGTAGTATAAATGCTTAGAAACTTTCAATTGATCAGCAATTCTTGTCAGTGAAAATAAGATCTAGTTTTTACATACCAAACTATTTTTCTGATTGTTATAATACATAGGGTTGGTAAAATGCATTTATACCTTAATAGTAGAAATATAAGTGTACATATTTTTGGAGGTCAGTTCAGCAAAGTCTCATAAAAATTAAAATATAAAAAGCTTTTAACCTGATTTCAGTTTTTATCCTAAGGAAATAGTCATGATTATGCCCAAAGATGTGTCTAAAGGAAAATTTTATTTATGGTAGAAAAAAATGGGAAATTACATAAATGGCTAACAGTAGTGAATGGATAAAACAATTATGCTACTCTTTTTTTTTTTTTTTTTCCGGAAATGGCGTTTTGCTCTGTTGCCCAGCTTGAAGTGCAGTGATGCAATCTCTGCCCACTGCAACTTACACTTCCCATGTTCAAGTGATTATCCTGCCTCGGCCTCCTGAGTAGCTGGGATTACAGGTGCCTGCCACCGTGCCTGGCTAGTTTTTGTATTTCTAGTAGAGACAGAATTTCACCATGTTGGCCAGGCTGGTCTTGAACTCCTGACCTCAAGTGATCCTCCCGCCTCAGCCTCCCAAAGTGCTAGAATTACAGGTGTGAGCCACCGTGCTTGGCCAATTATGCTCCATTTTTCTTATCAGTTATATTTTATGACACTGAAAAATACACAGTATATTGTTGATTTAAAGTAAACAAAGTATAAATTACCTTATATAGAACAATTTCCATTGTATTCCTCTCATCCTCTCATTTATATCTGTGTGTCATATGTGGATTTATATGCATAGCAATTAATCTGTATATAAAATGATATTTATAATGATTATGTCGGGTTACAGAATTATGGGGTTTCTTTTCTTTCTTTTTTTTTTCTTTACTGTTTTCACATATACTCTGAATTTGTTACAAGAAGTATCTTTTTTTTTTTTTTTTGAAACAGGGCCTCACTCTGTTGCCCAGGCTGGAGTGCAGTGGTGCAATCTCAGTTCACTGCAACCTCCGCCTCCCAGGCTCAAGTGACTCTCCTGCCTCATCAGCCTCCCAAGTAGCTGGGACTATAGGTGCATGCTGCCACGCCCAGCTAATTTTTGGAGTTTTAGTAGAGATGGGGTTTCACTATGTTGGCCATGCTGGTCTTGAACTCCTGACCTCAAGTGATCCGCCTGTCTCGGCCTCCCAAAGTTTTGGGATTACAGGCATGAGCCCCCATACCTAGCAACAAGAAGCATCTTTGACCACCCCACAAAAAGATTGTTTTGTGAAGAAGAAAATTGAAATACATTTCAGTGGAATGTTTAGTAAGCTAATACATCTATAATGTACATGATTACAAGATTCTGTAAAAATATAGATGACACTCTTGATCCATGTGGGCAGAAGTCCTGTCAAACTCAAGATATAAGCAAATTAGCACTAAAACTGAAGTCTCTTTAGATCTTAAAGGTAATTTTGATATTAGTTTTTCCAGTAAATGTCCCCCTGAAGCCTTTCCTGAACTAAACCCACAGAGCTAGGTCTTTCATTAGAAGTCCTATAAGGAACAAAATCATGTGATGTACAAGGGCAGTGCACCATTTCCTGCCTAATATGATGGATGGTATTTTGTTTATCTCTTGACTGCTGTGCAGCAAAATTTATGGTAAGTATTGTTTTAAAGCAAACTATAGGAGGAAGCTGACTTGTCTCTTCCCTGGTGTATGCACAGTATCTTCAAGTTTCCCCCAAACCTAGAATTAAGCACCTGTATAACCATTTGCATTGGAGGAGGTAATCAAGAGGGCAAGGATTTCTTTGGTAGCTGAAGTAGCACAGTTAAGAGAGTATTCTAAATTTCAGATAGCCTACTTAATTAATTAGTTCAGTTTTTTGAGACCGGGTCTCACTCTGTTGCTCAGGCTGGAGTGTAGTGGCGCAAGCCCACTGCAGCATTGATCTCCAGGAATCAAGTCATCCTCCCCTTCTTGAGTAACTGGGGATGAGAGGAGCCTGCCACCATGCCCAGCTAATTTTTTATTTTATTTTATTTTATTTTATTTTATTTTATATTTTATTTTATTTTATTTTATGTAGTAGAGATGAGGTCTTGCTGGGTTGCCCAGACTGGTCTTGAACTCATGAGTTCAAGTGAGCCTCCTGCCTTGACCTCCCAAACTGCTGGGATTACAGGCATTACCCACTGAGCTAAGATAGACTAATTTAGACATATGTTTACCAGCTCCTTGTAACAGAGATCTGTTTCAAGGTCTGTGCTTTGTCATTTGTTCTTTCCTGATTGGGAGCAAAGGAACACTTAAGGCCTCCTTTTCTTGGGCTAGGCGTGAGTTGGAAGAGATTTAAACCTCCCTTCCATTGCCCCATAATACTCATTAGCCCTGTATTTTTTTTAATAGCCATTTGACCTTTTTCAGTCATATTTAAGTGTTTTGCAAACACAGCCACAGGACAGATGCCCTAGCTTCCTTTTGAGTTTAGGTAATTTTCCTTTTTCCTTGCCTCGACTGAGGCGGATAGGGTAATGGGATCAACAGTCCTGTGCCTTTTGTTATGGAGTGTGGCACTTGGAAGCTGATGTTAGAAGAGACCTTTTGCAGATGAATGGTACCCACATAAATGGTTCATTTGATTTCTGTATTAATTATGGTAGCAATAGCTGCCATAACTGATAGATAATAAAATTCTAGTCACTTACCAGGTAGTATTTTATTTCATGTTCACTTAAAATCCAAATAGGCTTTCCCAAGCAGTTGATTATCTTACAGTGATTTAGAGACCCAGGCAGCTTCTCCCACCTTGTGGCTCCATTGTCTTCCTTCTGTGGATCTGTGTTGCTGGCTTGCGGAAAGAGCATGGAAAATGTGCATGAGTGCTTTTCCTCTGGGTCAGGCCTCAAAATAATCTATAACTGTTCTGTTCACATTTTATTGGCTAGAACTCAGTTAAATAGCCACACTTGGCTATAAGAGAGGCTGGAAATGTAATATAGATGTGGACCCAGGAAGAAAGGAACCAGAGTTTGATGATTACTTTGTCAGACTGTGTCACAGTTGCCAAAACCAGAGAATAGAAAATTGAAGAAAGAAATGAAATACTGAGAGCTGGGAGAGAATATGATCCAGATTTTGAATTCTTTTTTTTTTTTTTTTCTTGAGACGGTGTCTCACTCTGTCCCCCAGGCTGGAGTGCAGTGGCACGATCTCGGCTCACTGCAACCTCCACTTCCCAGGTTCAAGTGATTCTTCTGCCTCAGCCTCCTGAGTAGCTGGGACTACATGTGTGTGCCACCACACCCGGCTGATTTTTGTATTTTTAGTAGAGATGGGGTTTCACCATATTGTCCAGGCTTGTCTCGAACTCCGGACCTCGTGATCCGCACACCTCAGCCTCTGAAAGTGCTGGGATTACAGGTGTGAGCCACTGCTCCCGGCCCAGATCTTGAATTCTAAGGAAGTAACACAAATGAGAGGCCGGTAGTAATTCTTGAGCTAGAGCTAAGAGTTCTAGGATGGTTCCTTTAATGGAACCTTCTATCCTAAGTGTGGGTGTGGGAGGGACAAAATTAAATCAGGCAACATTAAGTAGAAAGGTATTTTTTAAATCCATTGGTAGACCACAAATACAAGCAATGATGAACTCTCTTTAATTATGCAGAATTATTTTGTTTTATGACCCCAAAATTAAGCTATCATATTTACTTTTAACCATAATTTTAGTTCTTGATGTTAAAGTTTGTTACAGTCTATGTTATAAACTGAATTTGGATAGAAATGATTTAAAAATTATGTGGTCTCTATGTTAGGGGAAACCAATAGTATTAACCCAATAAAATCACTTCTAAATAGTTATTTGAAATTTGAAAATAATAACAATGACATTTATGTAATATTCCATAATCTGTACATTTCACATTTTAGTTCACACAGATATTTTATTTGAAAAGTTTTTAACAGTCTTGGAACTTTAGGACACAGTTGTGTTACAAACTGTTGTTTCTATAGATGGAAGTTCATAAAAATAATTACTTGAATTATTCTGTATCTGCTTGTAAATTGTTCTCTCTTATCTAAAAGTCATGTGAGCAGAGAATCCAATGTGTTTCATGGTGTTTTATTTTTCCCCCTTCTCTCCAGGAGAAAAGTTGAAATTATGCACACCCATAGTCTTTTCACTCTTCTTGGAGAAAGGCTGATGTTGCATACAAACACTGTGACTGTCACCACATACAACACACTTTATGAGGTAAAAATAAAAAATGTGTGATGAAAGTTTTAAGTGTATATAGTGGAAACCCTCTAAATCTATGCAATTGAGATGAGTAGTTGGTCTGTTAATCTAAAAGCTAATTAAACCAGAAAATGGTTTAATGGTAAAAAATGAATACATACTTTATATTTTTATTTTATTTTAAAACATATCCATGTACAAGTTTTGCCAATCTCTTTATGTCTATCCAAGAGCTTTTCTTCTCGTATGGGTTGGCTGACTGGCTTCACACAAAGTCTTTCTCACATAAACTACATCCATTACATATTATATATTAGTTCTACTTTCCCATCCCCACCCCTCTGTTTTTTCCTCTCCTTCCTACTCTCTCCCTTTCTGCTTCTATTAGCTATATCCACTGCCAATATTAAGCTAGAGTTGCTACTGGGATAAATTTAGGTAATAATTATTTGTAAAAATGATATCTGGAAGCATCTTTGGATCTCATCATTTCAATTTAGAAGTTCCTTTTTTATCACTTCCAACAAATGGAACAGTTTTGGGTTCAGTATTTTCTACAAAATGTGTATACTACCTTACAAGAGTGGCTACTTTCATTTTTAAATGCTAGTAAAATGTTAGTAATGTCCCCTTACATTAACCTTAAGTCTGCTTTTCCTATAACTCATCTTCAGTGGTCCCAATTTTTTTTTCTCTAGCCTAAGAGCTAACTGCCAGCATCCATTTTTGTATGGCTCTAAGTTAAGGATGCTTTTTTATATTTCTAAATGGTTGAAAATAATCAAAAAAAGAATAATATATGAGTTGTAAAATTTATTGGATTTTCAAATTTCAGTGAACACAGTCACACTCATTTGTTTAGCTATTGCCTGTAGCTGCTTTGTGCCACAACCACAGAGTTAGAGTTGTAACAAGAATATTTGTTATGCTCTCCTCACCTTGCACTGTTGCTTGGCAAACTAGAAATTACAGAGATGTAATAACTCAACAGTGTTTCATGTACTGCCTGTATTGCCAAACCTAAGTTTTCTGCTTTTAAATACCAGTGCATACCCATCGTGTCTAAACAAGAAGAAAAATGGATTTCTAATCTCACACTTTGAAATACGGCAGAGTGTAGATTATTTTGTTATAGATTTAGATGAAAAGACTTTGCATCTGTTATACAAGGGCATTATAGTCATGCTAAGAGAAAACTTACAGGTACTACCAAATATCCATAATATTATGCCTAACTTGGAAGAGCAGTGGTCAGGAAACAAACAGAATATCTCATCATTGTAGATTTATTTATAAAAATGTTTTTAAAATGAAAATGAGAGACATTGAGAAAGGCAGACGCTGAGATTCTGAATGAAATTGTACTATAATTTTGAATTAACCTGTAGTCTCAGTTACTTGGAGGGCTGAGGCAGGAGGATTGCTTGATCCCAGGAGGTCAAGGCTGCACTGAGCTGAGATTGCGCTGCTGCACTCCAGCCTGAGTGACAAAGTGAGACTCTGCCCCCTTCAGAAAAACAAAACAAAACAAAAACAAAAACAAATTTACTCTTCTCTAATACTGTTTCTTTTCATGTAAGCCATGGAACAGATCAACTCAGTTTCAGATTTTGCACAGTCCTCAAACAGGATAGGTTTTACATTTTTTTTAATTTGGAGATTTTTCTATTTCAATTTTATTTTTTCTTTTAAAATTTTTTTATTATATTTTAAGTTCTAGGGTACATGTGCACAACGTGCAGGTTTGTTACATAGGTCTACATGTGTCATGTTGGTGTGCTGCACCCATTAACTCATCGTTTACATTAGGTATTTATCCTAATGCTATCCCTCCGCCAGACCCCCACCCCCTGACAGGCCCCAGTGTGTGATGTTCCCCGCCCTGTGTCCAAGTGTTCTCATTGTTCATTTCCCACCTGTGACTGAGAACATGCAGTGTTTGGTTTTCTGTCCTTGTGATACGTTGCTGAGAATGATGGTATCCAGCTTCATCCATGTCCCTACAAAGGACATGAACTCATCCTGTTTTATGACTGCATAATATTCCATGGTGTATATGTACCACATTTTCTTAATCCATTCTATCATTGATGGACATTTGGGTTGGTTCCAAGTCTTTGGTATTGTGAATAGTGCCACGATAAACATACGTGTGCATGTGTCTTTATAGCCATGATTTAAAATTCATTGGGTATATACCCAGTAATGGGATCACTGGGTCTTTGGTATGTCTGGTTCTGGATCCTTGAGGAATTGCCCCACTGTCCTCCACAATGGTAGAACTAATTTACACTCCTACCAACAGTGTAAAAGCGTTCCTAATTCTCCACATCCTCTCCAGCATCTGTTGTTTCCTGGCTTTTTTTTTTTTTTTGTACATTAAGTTCTAGGGTACATGTGCACAATGTGCAGGTTTGTTACATATGTATACATGTGCCATGTTGGTGTGCTGCACCCATTAAATCGTCATTTACATTAGGTATATCTCCTAATGCTATCCCTCTCCCCTGCCACAATAGGTGTGTGATGATCCCCTTCCTGTGTCCAGGTGATCTCATTGTTCAATTCCCACCTATGAGTGAGAACATGCGGTATTTGGTTTTCTGTTCTTGTGATAGTTTGCTGAGAATGATGGTTTCCAGCTGCATCCATGTCCCTACGAAGGACATGAACTCATTGTTTTTTATGGCTGCATAGTATTCCATGGTGTATATGTGCCACATTTACTTAATCCAGTCTGTCACTGATGGACATTTGGGTTGATTCCAAGTCTTTGCTATTGTGGTGAATAGTGCCGCAATAAACATACGTGTGCATGTGTCTTTATAGCAGCATGATTTATAATCCTTTGGGTATATACCCAGTAATGGGATGGCTGGGTCAAATGGTATTTCTAGTTCTAGATCCTTGAGGAATCACCATACTGTTTTCCACAATGGTTGAACTAGTTTACAGTCCCACCAACAGAGTAAAAGTGTTCCTATTTCCCCACATCCTCTCTAGCACCAGTTGTTTCCTGATTTTTTAATGATCGCCATTCTAACTGGTGTAAGATGGTATCTCATTTTGGTTTTGATTTGCATTTCTCTGATGGCGATTGATGATGAGCAAGATGGGGGAAAAAAGAGTGTTTTCGGATGTGTTCAATTAAATGAAATTCAAATTTCGGGGTCTGCAAATAAAAGGTTTTGTTTGTTTGGGTTCTTTTAGGAAAAGTACAGAGATTTATTGCAAAGAGAAAAGTACACACTCAGGAAAGGGGAGTGTGGGCTTACTTAAGAGAGAGTTGCATGCAAGGGTTTTTGGGGCTGCTAGCTCTATGAGTTTCTTCTAAACAAGGGATGGAATATTCATCAAGATTACTGTAAACGGGTAGATATTTCTCAGAACTGTGATGCTATCTAGTTTTACTCCAAATATGGGTGTTCCTGTAACCATTATGGTACTGATGGGTGTGTGATTTTATATGTTAGTGAGTGTGTAATGAGGTCCTAGGTGAACCTCCATCAAATCCAGTGCCATAGTGGGTCCCATCAGCCTTAGCTATCTTGGCTCTCCTCCTGGCTTTTCAGGGTCTTATCAACCCCTAGCTTCTGCAGCTATTTCAATAGTTTCTTTTTGCTAGTCATGTGAAACTGCTGCCTGGAGTTTTTTATTCTCCTGCAACCACCCTTATTATTCCTGTTTCATTTCCCCTTCCCCTTCAGAGATTTCCATCTCTTATTCTTAAGGGTTGATGAGGGAGAAGGCTGGTCTTCTTTATCTACTTCCTGCTGATTAGAGATGTTGGCCTTGCCTCGCAAGGGCGTGGAAATCTCTGGCTGCCTGGCCTGAGGGCTCTAAGGGTGAGTCATCAGGAGACTCTGAATCCAAGGGAGGGATTGGAATCATTGCATGACTATCATTTTGACATGGAACTGTTGTAATATAAAAGACACAAAATTTACAAAGAGGTTAAACAAGTAAGGACAAAGATTCATAGTAATAAGAGAGCTATTGAAGGTGAAAGGAAAGAACCACATCACAGTTGGTAGGTATCCTTTGATGGAGTCCCAGATGGTTTGAGCAGTGAGATTGTATTGAAATTATGTAGCCAGGTAGCCTGTTAGTAAACCTTTGGAACTTTCAGTTCAACTAATCCTGAATTGTTAATATAAGAACAACAGGTGTGTTTTATTACTGTGCAAACCCCACTTTGTTCAGCTAGAACATAAAGCCTCTTGTTGTTTCCTTGACCATTCAAGCAGTTCATGCTTTGACCCTGTTAGAGCTTCATACAGTAGCTTAGCAATGATTCCAAATCCTGGGATCCAAATCTTGCAAGTTTCTGTCATATCCAGGAAAGTTTTGAGTTACTTCTTCAGTTGTAGAGGCCTGACCTTTAAGATAGCTTCCTTTTGTTCAATGGACATGGTATAGTTTCCTGGGCTTAAGATGTACCCCAGATATTTTACTTCCAGTTTAGAAATCTGGGCCTTGGATGGAGAGACTGGATACGCTTTCTCCCAGGAAGTTTAGAACTTGAATAACATTCTTATCTGAGGCCTCTTTAGTGGGTCTACATACAAGGATGTCATCCACATATTGGAGTAATGCTTCCCTTTCTGGCTCTAGTTACCGTAATTCTCTTGCCAAGGCATTTCTGAACAAGTGAGGGCTATCCCTAAAGCTCCGAGGCAGTATGACCCAGGTATACTGCCAGGAAATACTATTTTCAGTATTAGTTCACTCAAAAGCAAACAAATAGTGACAGTCAAGGCATAGAGGGATACAAGAGAAAGCATCCTTAAGATCTAATATCATGAACCAATTGGTGTCTTCTGATATTTGGGTAAATATGGTAGAAGGATTTGGCACTATAGGATGTAGGGGAATTACAGCCTCATTAATAGTTCATAAGCCTTGAACTAGACAATATTCTTCATTTTCTTTTTAGACAGGGAGGACAGGACTATTACAAGGAGACTGACATGGAACTAGGAGGCCATGTTTTAAAAACTTCTTGATTAGAGGTT